ATCATGAACCTTGCCCAATCGGCCAGCATTCACACGTGCCAATTGTCCAAGGTGGTCCATGTCATCATGCAGCAGCACAGAGAAGCCCTCGCAGTGAAGGTTCTTCATCCTTGAGTGCGCAGGGCCCAGAATGGTGCTATGGGTGTTGTCAATGGCCCTGATACAGTTAGGAAACCCCCATGTAGCTGAAACTGGCCATGACCTCCTGTGTCAAGGCAGATAAACCATGGTTCCAGCACCTCCTTGATCACCAGACACTCCCTAAACTGCTGGTCCCACTGTGGACTTGCCCACGTTGAACTAGTTGGCCATGGACCAGGGGCTGTCAGTGATTGTGAGCTCCCATATGGTGATGGTTACATGCGTCTCTGGTCAGGGGTGCCCTCAACTTGGTGACTTGGTTACTGGGGATGAGCACCAGCATGGTGCAGATTTCTGTGGCAGTAACCCAGGACATACAAAGGTTCATCTGCCACTGCCTGTTGTCCCAGGTTGACAGGACAATGTGCTCCCAACCCGGTGGCTGCTTGTTTGCCTTGACCAGAAGCACCTGTGGTTTGGAGTGGTTTGTACAGAGGTCTATGGCATGTCATATGGCCTTGCTCCTGGCTGCCACCTCAGTTTGGGTGACAACACTGAAGCAAAAAAAGCAATAGATGTGTCTTTAACTTCCTCAGCTAGGTCAGCTTTTGCTTTCAGGACCTGCAATATAGCTGGTACATGCGGCATAGAATTGCCCTGAGGAAGCCATGGAAGACCTGTAGTCTCTGCCTGGAGCTCAAGCTGTTCCTGCTAGGCACATAGGGCATGCACAACCATGACCTCATAAAGCTCCAGCCTGGGTTCCCCAGGGTCACAGTGAAACTAAACAGACACTCCAGCACGTGTGATTGGTGGGGATGGATGCTTCAAGGATGGTTTGGAGTTAGCCTACTGACTTTTTCTTCTATACCTGAAGAGTCCTGGGGAAACTCCAGACAATCACCCACTGCAAGACAAGTTGGGATGGGTGCTCTCTCTGGTCCTCTAGAGGTGAAGCAACAGCACTTCAGGCTGCTGCTCAGCCTGGAACTCTAGGGTAGTGCATGTCTGTAATAAACTTCGACCCCTACCATACTATTTTTGGAAAACAACCACATCTTAAGCGATACCACACAGAGTTGGGAACCCAAACAGAACAGCACTGGCCTGAAGCATGGGAAGTAGTAAGTTAAATTAACCAATCTGGTTTCACCAGCTCAGCTAATGAGGGAAGTGAAGTGCTCAGAACCTTGGTAATGGAAATGTATGGAAAGAATTTTCAAAGTGGCTTAAAGGTGTTCAACTTCCACTGAATTTCAATTGGAACAAGACACCTAATTCCCAGGCTCTTTTGGAATCCCCAGTGTGAGAACTTGTAATAAAATATATCCATCTTGGCCACTCAGGCTTATTTTTCATTAATCTTGCAATGTTTAGTGTTTTTATTAAAGCCTCTCAGTTCCTGGTATCCTGACTGAGCACATCTTTTTCATTTAAAAAGAACATAGAAACATTTACAGATGCAACAGCTGCAGAGAATGCTTGATGCTGTGCTTCCCAAGGCTCATAAACTGGAGAGTCAATGAAAAAAAGTTCAAAACTCTTTGTACATTACTTGTGATGTTCTGAAACCCGATTCATGCCTTTTGAAAGTGACAATACTATACAAGTAAGGAAGATAAGACATGGATTGAATAAAAGTACATTAATCTAGACTTATCACTCTCCTATATCTAGTGAATAAATAACCTACTACCAAGTTACTTATATTCTATGAGACAGATCAGATGTATACTGCCCAAAAGTATAAGTCAAAGGAAATACTCTTATTTCAATGATCATTTATACTAAAGAACCAATTTCCTGATTTTTTCTTAAAACAACTCACCAAGAGGTTTTCTAAATATTTAAAATTTTCTTCTATCAATAAAAGCTGAGAAAAACAGTAATTAAATTTAACTGAGTTGATTAATCTTTAAAATGAACATAAGCAGACATGCTAACAGAAAAATAAATCCAGTTTAATAAAGCAGCAGGGCAGGCAGTCATTAAATTTATAAATCAGTTTATTTACAGATTTTATCCTCTTAAAGTACATTTCAGTTAACAAAGATATTTACACTGGTGTACACAGGGACCACCCTGGTGTATTTTACAGTTCTTAATTACAAAAAACCCCCACATCTTTATGTCTACTGTGCAAAGCTGCTCCGGGTAGGATTATTCACTGAAACTGGCCCAGAACCAAGTGAACAAGTTATGTACACATACACAGTAAACTGGTTTATTGTTAATATCTGCACAATACAGTACATGAGGAGGCCAGGCCTCCCAAAAGGCGGCTTTGCAAACGTGTATCAAAAGGCTCTGCAAAGTCAAGGAAAAAACCTCTCAAATGCAGGTTAATTACAGTACTCCTCTCTCACATCTGTATGTATTTTTGCATTTAGTTTTTAAATTACAAATAAGTTCTTGATATTTTTTTCTCCATTTTAGGTGATTTGTAAACATTTCAGAATTCCTATAGTTCAAACTAAGCACTTTGTATGCATCAACTCTTCCTCTGCTGGAAAGAATTTTATTCTCCCAAGATTCTTAAGGTAGCAAAGGGATACGAAAGTCAGAACTGCACTCCGTTCTTTGCAAAATAGTTATTTAAATGTTCTCTATCACTGTGCTACTGAATATCTTCTGCAGGTACACACTTTATTCAAGTATTGCAAATAGCTAAGGCCACTTTTTCAGGAAAAGAAAGCGAACAAGATAGATTTTTTTCAATAAACTACTCAACTTTATGAGCAACAGAACATAATCAGAAAGGTATAGTAGTAATATTCCAAAAATCAGTATCTTAGGAAGCATCCTATTGTGGGAGAGGGTCACCTTCCATATTCACACAAGCCTGGGCTTTTCTATATGGCATTGACTGATCTTTTCCTGGGCTGAAAAGGGGATTAAGTTTCCATATCAACTCAATCCAGTGCTTTTGATCTCTACTAGAGAAAGCTTGCTCCAATTTGCTGCTCAAAAAATAAAGGGAGTACCAGTATCCCTTTAACCTTGGATTTCCTACTCTTTCACCAAGACAATTTAATAAGGATCAGATCATTATCATGACAGAATATCTTAAACTTGGAGAAGTAGGGGGAAGGGAGAGCAGTGAAGTGCAATTTGTTTATTCAGCCCAGAGATTCTTCATCTCAGCTGAAAATCTGTTATGAACTCTGACCTAAAAGGGAACATCACCATGTTTCAATGCTCTTGAGTCCTAGTCTCCATTGTACCCCAGTACTCATCCAATGTTGAGAAGGTCAGTTAACAGGCATATGCAGTTATTTTGGTTCACATTGCTCCTGCTGGGAATTGTTACAGATACTTTGAGATGTTCTCTCCAACCTCCTTCCACATTGCGAGGAACCAGCTGCAACAAACAATCTCTGTTGCTCCTTGCAAATTCCCATATACCAGCCCTATACCCTAGCAGGTGCCCTCAGAGAGGTAAATCATCTTACTACCTCAGCATAGGCCATGATATCTCAGGGATGGAAACAACCTTTTCTACCATTTCTACAATATTCACAATATAAATCTGCATTGTGGATGTCTGTACTGGTGCTCTGCCCTCTCTACTGTTATTGCCACTTATAAAAATAACAACTGTCCCTTTTGAAAAGAAGATGCCCAGGAAACAGAATCTGAGACCGGGACCCAATCCACGACACCATGCTGATTTCAGCAGCTTTATCTCGTTTGTTAGAAGCACTTGGCAGTTCTGAAGTTCAGCATCATGAACCCAGCTATCTTACTGATTTAAATGGAAAAGTGAATTGCTTAGGAGAAGCTGAATGCTGTTGCAACAGGATCATCTGACTTCCATACAGCTATAAGGGAAGTTAGCACAGACAGACAGATATACGTGCTTGGTCAGACATGTTTCACTACATTATGTGTTTCCCTTTGTTCTTTTGCTCACTATGCTCTTGTAGATATGGCTCATCACTAATAACTCACAAACGAGATGCTGGCAATATATGACAGGTGAGATTCAGATATGATCAACCTCCTCCCACTCCAACATTTCTCACTGCTGTCCCTGATTTACAAAAATGACTGTGTTTGTGTCACTGTGCAAAATGCAAATATTTCAAGGACAGTTTCCCAAAAATAAAGATGGACAAGGAGGGAGCACAATGGAGCAGTGATGGAGGTATGCATAGTTGGAAGCCCAAGAAACAGATAGATGCAGTAAAGGGTCAGAGATTACCCAATGTGCATATCAAGGGCTACAGCATCTTTGGGTGCCTCCTAACATGCTTCTGAGTGCACCTCAACACTCCCACGTGTCTGGAGAATATGAATCTACTCTGGGTCTGGTCCTGTGCTGGTAAACAGGACTTCCACTATTAAGGCATCAACACTCAACCATAGATTGTCTATGTTCGACCAAGAACCACAAAATGGGTAAGTCAAGAAGGCCCTCAGAAGACAGGAGGGCACTGCAACTGAACAGCTCCAAACATACCACACAGTGGCCATCTTCAGCCTATAGCTCCTGGGAAGAAACCATTTCTGATGAAAAAGGGAAGGTAATAAGAGCAGGAAGGGTTCTGAGATCTTGTTTTTAGCTTACTCCAAACACTTCATAATTTCTGACACTGGTTCCAGCTGAGGTTCCTTTTACAATTGCTGCCTTTGCTTCCCAAGGTTTGGCACCCTTGATCCTCCCCACTGTCCCACGAGGCTGAGGTTTTTTGTGCAAAGAATATGGACCCTACAAGTTTCCAGGACAGATGTCATGTTATCCAAGTACCTTTCATAGGTTCTGCCATTTCAAAACCTAAGAAAGTGCAACCATTGCACAGGACATGTTCCTGATTTCCAACTTAATAAATTATCTTAAAATAAGTTAAAACAAATCCCACAAGCACAAAACATGCACAGAGTCAAGCACTGGACACCACTTTCTTTGGTGCAGAACTCAGTGATAACAAGGGAGGGATTGAGGACCAAAGCTGTGTGAAGAAATATTTTCCACTCCCACATGTCTGATGCCTGAGAGAATCCTGAGTATCCATTTATCAAGGAGCAACTGGTGGTTCAGGAAGTGAAGAAATGCTACATGGCAGAAGTAAAGTTGGCCTCAGGCTAGTCTGTTGGAGCCAACTTTCAGCAGCCTTTACCTTGCTCTTGTTCTGCACTTAAGTAAAATAGATAGGGAAGAGGTAAGAACTGTGTAAATGGATGAAAAATGCAAGGTTACCAATTCCCCTGGATTAGCCCAGGGATCCTGTTGGCTACTACGCCTCAGCAACAAAAGTGGAAGTGGACTTTAGAATGGAATCAGGCCCTGGAGTGGAAAAACTGATGCATGCAGTTGGGCCTGCAGGGTAAGAAGGAGAAGTGGTTAAGAGCATAACACTGTAAAGGGCTTTAAAATCTTCTTTATGGCTAAAACCCGACCAAACCAGTTGTTATCATAATCACTGGTGCACGTGTCTACAGATCACTTGAGTTTCAACTCTTGACAACAATTCCAGGGAGAGTGGCCAGTATCCCAACCTCTCCCAGCTCAGCAATCCCAGCTTCAGAGAACAACATACAGTTCCCAGCCCAGTCCGAGACATGGGGAGCTGCTGGCAGCTAAGCTGAGTGTACTTCCTTGGCACAAGGATGATATGAACACTCCACATGCCAGCATCAAGTGAAGGATCCTATTCATCGCAAACAAGAGATCCAGTGTAAGGTCTCCCAAGGTGGGGCATGCAAAACCAGGTTGATTCATCACATCCAAGTGGCCTTTAAAATCCACAGCTGAAAGTCCAGCAGCAGTGTAGTTATGGTGGAGGTATAGTATGTGTCAGAAGGCAGAAAGGCCCATAGCTCAAGTGATTACACAGTGTCTGATTTATTTCCAGGGATGTCACACAAGCAGTAGTCTCTGCTGTTTTTCATTTATCTGGTTAAGAACATCAATGGTGTCTCTGATTAAGGCCTCAAAGATCCCATCTGCCAACTGCATCTTCACACACAGCTCATCCTCATCATAGTTCACCCACTGAGCTTCTTCCTCATGGAGTTCCTGTACCTTGGAAGGTAGAGAAAAAAATATTACTTTACTGCTGCTTAGCATATCTTGTGCACTTTCAGAGCTTCCAGGAAGAACCAAACATGAGATGCATGACAAAGAATTACTTGCTAATAAAGAAAATCTTTTTGTGTAACTGCTGGGATGATCAACAAATAGACCACCACAACAGTCTCTGCTGTTTGCCAATATTCTTTACTCCACCCACTTTATTAAATGCAAAAGGATTTGAAAAGCCACGCAGCAACTTCTGTTTCTTCACGATGATTCATTAACTCGTGAGTGAGCCTGGATGTTCAGTCCAGTCCAGCACTTACAAGAGTGCTGAGGGCTTACATCTGATTAGAACACATGCCATTAATGGTGACCTCCATTGAAACTGTGTCTTGTAACCAGCCCTCAATAAAGTTTAAGCTGTGTACTCCTGAAAAAGTGGTTGCAGATGTGTTCTCAGAACATTAAACGAACAATTGCACAATAGATCTCCTTTAAATAGGATACCTAATTATACTATTTTATTTTCCCCCTTCATTTCACTGTTCATTTTAAAATGTGTCCTTGTATTGTTACACACTTTTTTTGTTTAAAACACAATACTGATGTAACATCATGCATCACTACTGACCAATGTGAATTCAATCTAAAAAAACCCACTTAATTTCTCATTTGTAAAAAGTCAACAGATGGCATGAGTGCTGTACAAAACACAACCCTGAATGAGAAAAGGTAAACTAAATGAGGGAAATAAAAAAAAGATTAGATATATGAACAGATTCAGAAATAAAAGAAATTCACATTTGATTACAGTACTAATTCTCCTGAAAGCAGAAGCAGAGAAGCAGGCAAACAGTGCACAGCACAGTACTATATGCTGTATAAAAAAAGGATTTTAGCAATATTTCATGCTTCATTTGTCTCAAGGGCATAACTGCTAAAGGAATGTTGTGCTAATTAGGGCTACATCAATAATTTGTCTCTCTCTCTGTTTTCATGAATGGTCTGAGTTATAAAACTCTTATTAATGGCATGGCAACGTGTGGTTTTTAGGCTCAGGAATAGCATTTCTGAGACGTTAATCAAATGACTGCTGGTGCAAGGATGGCATGGGGGACTGAGTCCCCCATGCTGGACTCCCTGCATGTTAGCAGCACCAGGACGGCCTGGCATTGACAACCTCACTCCCTTTCATCACAGCCTTTTCTTCCCCACACTACTAACAACCCAGGACAAAGTGTTATGGCTTAAAATCAAGGAAGCAATGTGGCAGCCTGCACATCGACATCCCAGAGCTTTTGGGAGAAGACTTCCTCCTGTGATTCCAATTCAAGCCCAGGAGTCCCAGGAAGAAGAGACTGATGTCACTGAGAAAACACCAGGTGATGCAGGAGTCTCCAACAAAAAATGAATAAAGATCAAGAGAAGTAATCTCTTTACTCCTAGAACCAGCTCAATAACAGAGAGGACAGAAGGGCAGGCTTTTATGGCATTGAGGCTGAGTCTTTTCAGAAATCCATCTAAAAGCACATTACAGTATATTGGCATCCCTGGGTGAGCGTGGTGAAAACCCTGCTGAGAGATACACTGACTAATAGATGCTTCCTTCAGAGAAGGTTACAACCTAAATGGGAAGTTTGGAGGCCTTCTGGAACTGATTTAGGTAACCAGGGTTATGCTTTCATCTTGGGGTTGGAAGCTCTGAGTCCTACAAGCATGAAGGAATTTGAAACGTGGGTGGCAGAAGTGTCTGGATCCATGTGCTTCTTGCTTCTGGTGGCCAAATGGTTAATGCAGTAATTAGCTAAATCGCAAAATGAAAAAGAAAGTAAAGTTATCTTTAGTAAGCAAGTGTGGTTTTGGGTGCAAAAGCCCACTGTGCTTCCAATTTGTTATTTGTTTTTTGGGCTCACCCCACTAGGAGGTGTTGGCATATTAGGAGCAGATGTTTTGAAGATCCTGAATGTTGCTATTGATTTGGCAAATAAAGAGCTATTGATGCAGTTAGGGCAGGGGGCAGGCAAAATGCGGCCCGCGGGCCGGATGCAGCCCACCAGGCCATTCTATCCAGCCTGTGGGGCCCCTAAAAATTTAGAAAATTAATATTTATCTGCCCCTGAATGCCTGTCATGCGGCCCTCGATGGCTTGCCAAAACTCAGTACGCGGCCCTCCACCTGAAATAATTGCCCACCCTTGAGTTAGGGGGTGCTACGGATGGAATAAAGTGTACCAAGGATTAGACTGTTATTGCTGCAAAAAACAGGTGTGCTGCCATAGAAGCAGGGGAAGAGTTAATTTTTCCTCCATGGCCCCCTCTAATGGTAGAAATGGCTGAGTAATGCCTAGTGCCTATGAGATTGAAGGAGGATTTCCCCCCACCCTCACCAGCTGTGGAGACCAAGAAGCTGGCTGATGCTGCTCCATGACAGAAGAGAATCATCCCATAAAATTATGCTCATCTTTGGCAATTAATCAATACACTGGCTGGAATGACCCAAGGCTCTTTTTAAATTCTCTCTCACCCTCCCTTCCCACCTCACTCAAACGTTTGATTAGGGACCTATCAAAATTGTGATTTCCACAGAAACCGCAAATTCGGTTGATCTCCATGAAAGTGCAGGGACCATGAAAAGGTGCAAAACAACCTCAGTAGCAAGTGAGAAGTGGAATTAAGCACTGCAAAAATAGAAAAGGGCAGGAAGCCCTGGTATCCTGAAGCATGGGGGCAGGGAGAGGAAGGGGGGTGTTCTTCCAGCAGAGCACGGCAGCCCCCCCTCCCACCCACTATGCAAAGGGACCCCTGAAGTCCCACCCCTCCCTGTAGATTGACAGTCAGCCAACTGTCAATCTCCTGGGAGGGGTGGGAATTCTGGGACCTCTTGGCCAATCGGAGCTGCGGGGGGTCCCGCTGTGCTCTGCCATGAAAGCGGTGACTGGCATGTGCTTGAACCACAAAATCGGTGGGCAGCATCCCCGAATTTGGTAGGTACCTAATTATGATGTTGTGCGCTTGCACATGCACAGGCAAGTATGCTCTTTTCCTTATCACACTGAAAATAATTAAAAAAAAATAAAACAAAACCCCAAAATCCAAATCCATAGGGGAGTCATGGAAAAAGGTTCCTCATTTCCAACTATAAAGCCTGCAACTGCAAAACAGACCCCCTTTTATTGCAAACTGTTTCTATTTTTCAGAGCTACGACAGAATAGAAGGACTTCAGCCCTTAAATTAACAGGCTAAGGTCAGGTAAGTTTTAAAGAGGGTCACTCATAGGCTCACTGGCCCCCAAAACTAAGCTTTTACCTCTGCTTTTCTCCAGCTTCACCTTCCTCTATGCTCTGGGAAGAATCATAGAAATTAAGGGCTGGAAGAGAACTCCAAAGATCATCGAGTCCAATCCCCTTGCTCTGGCCAGGAATACTGCTGAGATCAAATGATCCCAGCAAGGTATCTGTCCAGTCTCCATGTGGGGTCTCACCAACACCAAATAAAAAGGAAATATTGCTTCCTTAGCCCTGCCAGCAACGCATTGGCTAATGCATCCCAGTATGGTATTAGCTCTGTTGACTACAGCTTCGCACTGGCGGCTCATGTTCATCCTGTGATCAACCAGAACCTTGAGGTCCCTTTCAGGCACTGTGCTGGCCAGGACTCTCCTCCTAAGCTATACTCATATTGCTGGTTACTTCTCCCCAGATGAAGCACTCTGCGCATTTATCCTTATGGAACTGCATCTAGTTCTGCTCCATGTACTTTTCCATTTGTCCAGGTCCACTTGGATCCCCATTCTATCCCCTAGCACAGGGGTGGGCAAAATGCGGCCCATAGGCCAGATGCAGCCTGCCAGCCCATTCTATCTGGCCCGCGGGGCCCCTAAAAAATTTAGAAAATTAATATTTTATCTACCCCTGGATGCCTGTCATGTGGCCCTCACTGGCTTGTAAGTGGCCCTCAGCCTGAAATAATTGCCCATCCCTGCCCTAGCATGACTGCTTTCTCCCATAACTTAGTATTGTCCGCAAACTTGGCCAGCCTACTTCCACAGAAAGAAAGCGGTAGCAGAGCTTAAACATTACTCACATGGATAAATTCAGAGATTTCATAGACATTAGGGCTGGAAGGGACCTCAGAAGATCATCGAGTCAAGACCCCTGCCCAAGGGGCAGGAAGTCAGATGGGGTCATAGGATCCCAGCAAGATAAGCATCCAAATTTCTCTTGAAGGAGTTCAATGTAGGTGCTTGAACTACCTCCAGTGGCAGGCTATTCCAGACCTTGGGGGCTTGGACAGTGACAAAATTCTTCCTTATGTTCAACCTGAAATAGTCTTGCTGAAGTTTATAACCGTTTGATCTTGTCATCCCTTGGGGTACTCTGGGGAACAATCGCCCCCCCAGATCCTGGTGAAAACCCCTGATAAATTTATAGGTGGCCATCCGATCGCCCCTGAGCCTGCGCTTTTCCATGCTAAGGAGTCCCATAGCTCTCAGCCCGTCATTGTAAGGTCTGTTTTCCTAATCTCTGATCATGCGTATGGCTCTTCTCTGGACTCTCTCAAACTTCTCCACATCCTTTTTGAATTGAGGAGCCCAAAACTGGACGCAGTACTCCAGATGCGACCTCACCAAGGCCGAGTACAACGGGAGAATGATGTCCTAGGATTTGCTTGAGAAGCATCTATGGATGCAAGCCAGCGTTTTGCTTGCTTTATGGGCTGCAGCATCACATTGAAGGCTCATATTCATCTTGTGGTTAATCATGACCCCCAAGTCCTTTTCATCTGTAGTGCTAACCAGCGTAGCACTGCCAAGCCTATAAGGATGCTGCAGGTTTTTCCTCCCAAGGTGGAGAACCTTGCATTTTTCAGCGTTAAACACCATCAGGTTCTCGTCTGCCCATTTCTTGAGCCTGTCAAGGTAAGCCTGGATCGCCCTCCTGTCCTCAGGCGTGGATGTTTACCCCAGAGTTTGGTATGATTGGCGAACTTGGCCAGTCCGCTTCTGA